CGGTTGAAGCATTAAATGAATTTCAAATTAGGAATAGGAAATTCAAACCAGCATTACTCTTAACTGGGTTCACTGTAACCACGGACACTTCTCATCTTTTAAGGGTGTTCTGTCAATTTGGCAGTTGCAGTAGTTCTGCATCTCATAAAAAGTAGGCAAGGATGTAATTTCTCTGTTGCACAATGTAAAATTCTGATTGACGTCCAGAAAAAAAAAAAATTGCAACGCTCAAGACAAAGTTTCTGCTGGATTTTATTTTTACAGAGTTAACGTTTTATACTGGACGCTTCTTCAAACCCTTTAAGGCTGGACACTGGTATTTGCTGAATGGTATTTAATGTATCTGTGGCATTTATAGTATAGTTCCATCAACCTACTGATGAACTTTGTGCCAGTAATTGGTGAAACAGTGAATACAAGATGCAAATGTAGTGAGTCTCCAAAGAGTGGATGTGAGGTGGGAGTTATATGTCTAAAACGTTGCCATACACCACTTTAAGGAAGTTACAATGTTTTTTGGCAGAGGACCTGCAACTTCATTTGTGTTCAGATTCTCATATTCATTGTGCGTGATCAAAGTTGATGTTAAGCAGAATCAACCAGTGGTTCTCCTCTACTGAATGACATTCACAGGAGAAGGGAAGGTTTAGGGGAAACAGCTACTTTGAAACTCTTTCTCAGATAGAATGGTCCAAACCTTCTCTAGAATCTGGTGATGCTAGGAGTGTACAAGTTTTCCATCCACTTTTTGCTGATAGTAGGTATGTGATACCTGAATTAACAGTTTGAATGTGTCTTTTGGCTATTCTAAATTGTCCAAAGACTAGCCCATGTAAGTTTTTCTTGTCAGAGACCCAGCCGCAAGAACTGTAATTTAGCTCCTGTATGTTCTGGTTTCATGTGTGGTCATTTTTGCCTGTCCTTCTGTGTGAAACTCGGAATTATAGAAATGTCTAAGTTAAAATAATTTTCTGTGAGCTGAGAATTTACCCTGAGTGTCTTAGAATATCAACACGGACTTTGGTCTGCAGAATTACAGCTGCTCAGTGTTTGAAGGATTCAACTAAAGAACAAAAGTGGATTGATAAACGTTACCGCAGTGGAGTGCTATTAATTCCGTACTGAAGGAAAGATCATTGTCTAATGATAAAATTCAACAAACTGTCTTATAACCCTAAGATGGCAGTCTACTTACATAACTTGCTTAGTTTTAACAGGCTGTGGTATTACCAGTGTAGTACTTTCCTTTCAGCTAGTGTGACCATTGGTCTTTCATGTATTTAAGTGAGTAGTGTGATGAGTTTTAGAATAGGAAACTTTCTGATTCTACTTCATTTTATTTCTTAGCCAAAGTGAAAGAGAGGAATTTGAAACAGAGTTCAAACAGAAGTATGAACGAGAAAAGATTCTGCTAACAGAGGAAAACAAGAAACTTTCAAATGAACTTGATAAGGTAAGTGCTGATTAGTTGAGTCCAGGGTTTAAAACTATTGTATGCTGTGTACAAATTGGACAATATAGAGCTGTGTTGGTTATTACTAACTTTTTATTGATAGAAGAAATTGATATCACACAAAAAGTGCTGATTAATATTTGATTTGAATAGGGAGTATCTACATCCATCTGAACTTGAGAATGTGTAAACATATATATTTATATGCACGTTATGTGTATTTATCTGTAGGGATTGTGTTGGATGGTCTTGGAGTTTGGTAAGATTAATTTTAGACAATATTTTAAGCAAAAAAAAAAAAAAAAATTTAATTGTATGACCCAATATAAAGGTACATGATTAATGATGTGATTACTTAGAGTATGTCAATTACTGTGAAATAGCAGAGCCCCTCCCTGAGATTGAGATTAAGTTTTACTTTGAGATATTAAAAAAATACAAATGATAAGGCATATTAATGAAAGTGTTTTGAGCAAGGAATAATTGTTTCGTGCATTTAGATTATTTCTTTATTGTTGATTTTGACAGGTTATTCAAGTTCACTATGGATTAGCCAAGTCCTGCTAAACTTGTCTATTCTTTTTATAATGCATTAAATTTTTTAAAAATATGATGAAAGTACAGTGTTCTTCAAAGTAAGCATATTTGCATGTCAGTGTTCAAATTAAAGTATATTTTCACACCAGTATAAGACACATACTATATATGCCTATACGTATGCTTAGTTCAAGGAACAGTAAGAGGCTAGTCACTTTGATAGTTTTTCTGCTTGGTTTCTTTTTCTATTTTTTTTTTAATTCGGTTAGCTTTGTACTTTTCTTGTCAAATGACGTTTAATAAATAGCTGTATTTAAATCATAAGCCCATTTAAATGAAAAATGTGGAGTAGAGTACTCATATTAGGAGTGAAAAGCAGAATAGATTGAAAACTGGGGTTTTCTCATCATTTTGATTTGTTAATCTATTTCAGTACTAAAAGAAGCCTTTCACATGAGATTCGTTCTCCTCAGCAAGCTTTCCTATAAATTCTATCTGATCTCTGATTCCAATTTGACTTTCTGAATAATTACTTAACATAATGAAGCATTAGTTCCCAATACCAGCTCAGGTTAGCTGTGGCTTTTGTCTTGCAGACTGTGCATGTATGAATGACAGCTATGCGAATGCAAGAGGTTAATTGCTAGGTATAACGTATTGTACTTACAGATGTGCATTTAATTTCAATTTCCCTGTCTGCAAGTAAGTAAAATGAAAAATAGGAGAATGTGAGACACCTGGAGAGTCTCAGGATTGACCGGCGCCTGTATCTGTTAAGCCTTTCATTCTCCATGGTTACTAAACAAGGGAGCGGTTTGGCAGTTTTATCTGAGCTATAACAATTTTTGTGCCCTTGCTTTGCTCTTTTAATGTCAATTTTTCTATTTAGAACACTCCTCACCTATATGGTACAAAGCAGAAACCTTCTAAGACTTGCAGAGGTATTTGGAGACTAATTCTCAGAAAACTAATTAACTTATTAGAGTAAAAATGTAGCACTAGTCCTTAAAAATAGCCTTTCAGTACAGCTAAGGTCATACATGAGAAGAAATTCTGGCTTTTATTGTTACATGGTGTTTATTGTGATGGGTAGCACCAATTTTTAAAGCAGATGCATGATGTGGGAGAGGGGAACACGTGGCTTTGAGTCTGCACAGAGATGGAGACACAGCAGCTTATACCTTTAACAAGTTGTTTAAATTCTTATTCAGCTCACCACCATGTTTGAGAGGCTGAGTATGAATAACCGGCAGCTGGAAGAAGAGATGAGAGACCTGGCTGATAAAAAGGAGTCCGTGGCCCACTGGGAGGCCCAAATTACTGAGATCATCCAATGGTGAATACACTGCTCAAATGTCATTGCAGAATCCCCAGTATGTATGTGGTAGGGCTGTTACTGAGTTTTTGCCTTTGCACATGCTGCTTGCAAGTGCTTAGGTGAAATTTCTTGCCTCTGTGGGGTTCTGCTGTATTTTTGCTTGAGATTTTAATATCATCCAAATCTGGAAAATTGTGTTCCTCCTTAAGAGCGAAAGTGTCTTACAAAATACAACTTTTTCAAGTGCAGAAGAATCATAGCCATTGGGTGTGGCTTGTGGGTTTGGAAGAATGCTAGAAGGAGTCATGTGCTGAGCTCACGCCTCTGAGAGGGAGCAAGCCTGGGAAAAGCGGTGGCTGAGAGTATTTGTGTCTCGGCAGTAATTTCCTTCATCTGCTTGGCATGTGGCAGAATGAAACAAATACAGTGCAACTTTTATGTGATTTTTTTTTTTTTTTTTTCTTTAGAAGGAGGGCATTTGAGACTACCACAAAGCCAGTCAAGTGATGTTTCTAATAATACTTTAGCTAAATAATGACGTTATGTTTCTAAACTCTTCCGTCCAGTTCTAAGAAAATAAGGAAAAAGAACAAAACCAAGTTGAAACTATTAAGAGAAAAAGATTGTTTTATCGCGGTGGCCTTTATTTTTCCTCTCCATGCCTCCTCCTCTTCCCTTCCATTTTATAGTTCATTGCAGTGTTTAGCATCTACAAAAACAGTTTGCATCCAGGTATGTTTTTTTCACAGATCATCCACTTCTGGGAAGATTTCATCATCATATACTAATTTTTTTTTGTTTGTTTATTACTTGATTATTTTTTTCCCAATTTTTCCTGTCTCGTGTTAGTGAAAAAATCTAATTTGTTGTGTCAAAGCAAAAATGGGAAACATTTGTTTTAATGAAAACTAGTTCAGTATTGTTTTAATGTCAGTATAATTTTATTGTCTAAATACAGAGAAGTTTAGCTCTTGAATATAGCTGTGTGAATATGTAATAAGAAGGGCTGTCCTCTGGGTTTCTGGAAGTGTTTTAAACAGCATTTGTGACATAAAATTCTGTAATGCTGATCTGTGTTTTGAAGTCCATAGTGTCTCAAGGCATTGTATTTGTAGCAGAGGTTAAAACATTTAAAGGGTCTACTTTGTTCCTTTTAAACCTTGTCTCTCATAACTCTGAGTGCAGTAGATGTAGTAGATGTATCACACAAAGAAAAATAAAAAATATAAAAGTTCTTTAAATGAACAGCTAATTTCTAGCCAGTACGAAATGTTTATTCAGAAAAAAATCAAGGTAACAAGGTCTTTTATTTCTCATTCCATATTGTTTTAAGATAACGCTAATCTGTCTTAATGCACTAAGGTAACCAGACCCCATTTTTCAGATATGTATGTGAAAGTACTCATAAAACTTGACAGTTCTGGGAAAAGACAAGTCAGTTGTGGATAGTTTTACTTAACACTATGTAGAAATGTACCAACAGCCATTAAGAATGTCACTTCTCCAATTTATGAGAGTGTATAATATTTTAAGCTGCACTACCAATGCAGTTCAGGTATATGGTAAAGCATCTTACACATATTAGAGATGTGACTGGGGGAGTAAAAGAGGTTTGGGATTGAGTTTTTTGTTATCTCTAAAAATACTTAATGAAAAAGATCAGGAACAGGCAAGACTAACTTCCTGAATGAAAGATACCATTTTATTGATCCCTTATGATAATGTAGTGTCTTTTAAAAAGTATGGAACTAAAAATTAAAGAACTGTGTGGGGGGAAAAAAAAAAAAAAGTAGAAGTACTGGGCAAACATTAAGGAGATGAAAAAAAATGTGGCTTAATTCCAGTTTGTAATCACTGTACACATCTCATTTTTCCCTCCATGCTTCTCTCTGCTTCTGTTAAATTTTTTTCAGCTATGTGAGGCCTTATCTTGGCTCACTTTCTTTCTTGTTATGTTTAGCTTTTCCATGGGTTACCCAGATAATCTGGTCACGTCCATCTGCTGTTCTTAGAATTCAGCACTGCATACTGAAACTAGGTCCTTCTCTGGGGATATTTTGCTGTGGAACATGGGGTGCTATAGGATGTATTTAAATGTCTATAATAATATAAACATTTTTAAAGAAAAAAATGTAATTTTGAAGAAAACTAGCCTTATTTAATCAGTCGCAAGCCTCTGTTTTCCTCGGAACAAGTAATTTAAATCCATACTGGTCCACCTCTTCAGTATGGCAACAGAGTGCCTTGGAGCTAACAAAGTAGGGTAGAGCTTGTAGGCTTCCTCTTTAAAACTAGCAGATTTTTCATATAATATTACTTTAAAATATTTATTTGGGGTGCTTACTTTCTACCTCTTAAAAATGGACTTTGCCTACCATCTTTTTGTACTATGATTCATGAAGGATAGGAGGCAGTAGATGGAATTAATTACTGGTTTTGTAAACAGTTTACTCAGGTGCCTATTGTAGTTCAAGGGAACTACTGGTCCTGTTTTAAGTAACACAAGCACAAGGGGTCCCTTGCTTCCTTTGGGTGTTTTGCCACCTAATAGATATCTCTGAGGAAACCTGCCTCACTATTTGAATCCACATTTTGGGTGGTTAAGAGCATCGCTTTCTTCGTGACTTCTTGGGCCCTTCTAAATTACTGTTTCTTTCAGCTTTTATAACTTGTGAGTAATTCTAATGGCCTATCATGTTCCCTCTAGCCTTTCCCTGCTTTCCTACTGTGCTCTCTTGCATCTTTTTTAGGGCAAATGTACAAAAGCTTTTTTGTTTTTGCTGTTACTATCTGAAGACAGCATAAATATAGCCAAAATTTTAATACAAACATTTGAATCAAACTGTCACTGCAAATTCTAATGTGGTAGCCATAGACCCTCACAGATCATTCAGCTTTAATGGAGCTATTATATTGACAGGTTTATATTAGCCAAATCACTCATGATTCCTTGACAAGAGTAAGAAATACTGAGGCTTTTATAGTCAGCTATAAATTTTCCTATGGGAGATGGGAAAGAGATTCATTGCATTGGAGGTTAATGCAGTCACTTTAAAAAGGAATCTTTTAAATAGCCATGGTACAGTATTTCTGTTCTGTTGCAGAAAGGAGGTTGATGGAAATCTTGATAGTGATTCCCAGAGTACTTGGCAAGAATCTTAACTCATTAATCTCTCTGGGAGGGATTCATGTAACCTAGTTCTAGAAGTCCTAAGGTAGACAACTAAAGTAAATCCCATGACTAGTACTGTAGAAGGCTTTTTTTCTCCCCACTGATTGAAAAGGAAACCTAGACAACTAGTTCAAATGAAGATTTCTGTATTGTTCAGCATGTTTATATGGATGAGCTAAATTCTACCTGGTTTACCTACTGAGTGGATGTTAGGCTTAGATTCAGCTGGCCAGAAGCTGTGACTGTTGTTTACCAGAAGATTCACATAATATTTTCCTTGTTGACTAGATATTCTTCCAATCAACTGTACTATGGCTGATTTTATCTTCACTATTAATTTTATTAAAACCAAACTCAAACCCAAAATATCAACAAAAAAAACCCCAAACAAACAAAAAATCAATCCCCCCCCAAACACTTCTGCAGTAAATCAAACATAAAAAAAGCCTGAAGTTGGTTGGGTTTTTTGTGGGTTGGGTTTTTTTTGTTTTGTTTGTTTTGTTTTAAATCTGGTTACTCTCAGAAGAAAGCACACATAAATTGTGGAAAGGGTTTAGCAAAAATTCTGGGCAAATTCAACTGTAAGAAACTCAAAACATGAATAATTCTGAGATGTGTTGCGTTTGACATAAGAATAATGAGAAGTTAGTTATCTATAAAATAGAAATTCTGGGGGGTGGGAGAAATTTCAGGGTTTGAGAGCAGAGTGAAGTGTTGAAAACTTTTAGAGCAAGGGTTTTAAAAAACAAGTTTTATTGAAGAGGGCAAGGGAAAAAGATTAAATTGGAGGCTTTGAGCATAGTGATATAAAGACAGAAATTTAAAAGCATTGAGAAACTACAGGAGAACTGGGAGTCATGCCTCTGAGACTTCCTTGCAGTTTTAAAATCGGGTAAGATGCAGCTTGGTGTAAGACCCCAGGACTTTAAGACCCCTCCTGTTCAGCTAAAATCTCTAGTCCCCTGGGTTGACTTTGTCTTGTAAAGTATCCTGGACAGAGACACCCAGAGTGTCTGGCTTTCCGAGCAGCCTGACAAATAGCATACTAGGTATTAGCCAGTGGGTATTTGAAGGTTGTCGTGATGTTGGCTCCAACCACAAAGTTAAATTTAATTTTACAGGAATTTGTACTGTATCACTGCTCTAGGTTCTTTATAGTTAACAACTAAGCTTGCAAGGGCAGTTATGTTATATATGAAAACAAACAGTTAATCTAATTAAATTTTCGGTAAAGAAAGAAATTACTCTGGGTGGAACCTGAAGAACTTTTTTTCCCTAGGTCTTTTGCTGTGCTTGTTAGGGATCTCCGTAGGGAGAGGGCAAGGAGAGAAACATTAGTAAAAGTGACTTTACTATTCTTGCTCTGTCTTTTTTTTTTTTTTTTTAAAGCCAACCAAAAAAAAAACCCACAAACAAACAAATAAAACCCAACAAAAACCTCCCAGCAAAACAAAAAAATCTGAGAGCTCCTGGGTTCACTTTAATCAGTGTATCTCAGTATCGAGAGAATGTTGCCATCTAGTGGACAACGAAACTGTATCTCAGCTCCAAATTGTACTGCTTTTATTTACTGTCTTTAAGATTCTGAGGAGTTTCTGTTAACTCAGAATAGATTTTTGGAAAAATTTACTTTCTATTTTATTTTCATTTCCTGGATTTCTCCGTGTTCTGTGGAACATCTCTCTATGGCTTTTGCATGTTCAGCTTTTCAGCATTTAGAGCCTCGAAGTTCTGTGCATTGTAAACCAAGTAACTGAGTGTTTTCTGACTTTCCTTGTGAAGGTTCTATATAGCATGATAAAAATTGAAAAAGAAATGGGGCATTTAAAATTTTCCAGCTTTAATTAGAAAAGTTAAAAATTAAGGTATCAATTCAGTTCTATTTTTAATCTGGCATCATCCCTTTTTTTCTGCAAAGGTTTTACATGCCATTAAAAATAGAGAAGACCAGACACTGATTCCTAAATCTCTTTTCCTTTATTGTACATCAGGAAAGCTGACTTTCTCACCTTGAGAGCCTAACATTATTTTTATTCCTGCTTACATGCTTTTCTTTTTACTATGCATTTAATTATGCACCCCTCACCCACCCCCCAAAAGCATCTTATGCTTCTTCTCACATCTTTTGCCACTCTTACACTGTAAGTGTTTGTATAGGCCAAGATTATCTGTATCTGATCATCAAAATGTGTCATCCAGAATGTTATGGGAAAAGAAGTTGATGTGCTGCTTCCATTGAGTTCTAGTATACCTTGGGAAAAATAGTGACTCATTTATATCAAAACTCTCACTGACTTCAATAAAGTCAGGACATGTGGGTTTTTTTCTAGGCTCCTCCCCACCTCTTGAACTAAATTGTAATCAAGAGACAAAGAAGATAACGCCCAAAGCATGAATAAGTGTTTACTTTTTCATGTTGGGTGTGAGTTTTGTGGTAAATGGTTGCTATTTTTGCATTAGCCTCCTCTGTATTAAAGCAATCTTTCTTCTCTAAGCCTTAAACTGCATGCCCAGCAGTCTCTGCAGCCTGTGGATGTTTAGCCTGTAGCTTTTGCATCGTGATCTTGCCATAAGGCCACTATGGGAAAGCTCTTCTGTCCTTCCCTTGCCCGTGGCAGTTCAGAGTATGTACTTTCTGTCTGTCTTGCCTCCTGGTGACTGTCTATAAATCTTTTTTGAAACATTATATCATTTTTATTAATGGATGGTAAACTTTTGCAAGTAGCACCATTTCCATATTCACTGTGTGTGTGAACCCCATAGTATCAACCAGAGGAACGTATATTGCTTTATGGGCACGGAGGGGGAATCAATTTCTGCAGGAAGGTCATTGCGAGACAAATTCAACCATCTGGAGAACTCTGACCTCCAGTCCAACATACTCAGGATTGCAGTTACTAAGGAAAGATCAGGAAGCAAGGATAAGTTAATTTCCATGAAATAGAAAAACTATTTTCCCACTTTGCTGTAGGTTATTTAAAACTATTTGAGGTTCTTTACTTAGAGCACATCCTAAATATTTCTGTGGTTAGTGTTGATAGATCTGCGATCAAGCTGTGGTATGAGACTGCTGGTCTCTGAGACCAGCTCAGAGACTTGGAAATGCCCTGGTGTTGCAGAACTGAGTTTGTTCTTCTGTGGGCAAGATGAGTACGTTCAGAGCCAGGCATGTAAGGTGAAAGGAAACGGGGTGGGGAGGGGTCTGTTTGTTTGTTTGAAGTCTTTCACAAGCTACTTAGTTTCAGTGAGGTAATTTTTTAGCAACTTTCTTTTCTATGTTAATACCTGAGGCAAGGTGAAGAACCTTCAGCTGTGATTAATCACAGAAAGTTGGGGTGTTTTTTTTTCCTTTGTAACTGATGATCAAAGAACCTGAAAAAAAAAAAAAAAAGATGTGTCTCCTCCTTGATGTCTTTACACCCAGAAAACAAGTCTGGATAGAAGGAAAGCTCAGGCGATGAGAGAACCTCTTCTGGCTTATGCTGCTTAGTAATATCAGAATTAGTCTCTCCCTGTTTAATTAGCATTTCTTGAAATAACATCGCTGTTTGATTATAACTACTAGTTCTCATAGTCAATTGATACAGTAAAGTCAACCACTAATTCCAATATTATGTGGATAGTTGAATTGTTAATTACTGGTTATAAATTTTGTCTGAATTTACTCCCTAAAAATAGGTTGAATCCTGAAAGGTTTCTTTCCCACAGTCTCAATTTCAGGTAGCTGACATTTATACTGAGACATATGTTGCTTACATATGTAGTTCTTCAGTCTTTATTCCTTGTCTTAGTGACGCATATTGTTTAATGGAACTCTGCAAAGCAGCAAAGGCTTAGTTCTGTGTGGGTTTCTATGTTTTTTTTCCCTATGTTTAATGACTTCTGTTTTGTATTCTGCTTTTTTCTGTTTCTGGTTGCTATTTTTTTTGAAGAGACTTTTGTTGTTTTTCTTTAGATTATTTAGTTAAAAGACCTTTTTCTTCTAATGTAATTGTTTAGGGTAAGTGATGAAAAAGATGCTCGAGGTTATCTTCAAGCCTTGGCCTCTAAAATGACAGAAGAACTAGAGGCCCTGAGGAACTCCAGTTTGGGTGCAAGAGCTACAGTAAGAGTCTAATATGTCAGAATTTTTTCTGTTTGAAAAAAACATTAATTTGATAGTTTCAGCTGCAGTAACAACCTCTCTGTAGAGTCCGTGTTAGTCAAAAGTTAAGCTTTCCTAGAGGTTTCCTTTTCAATAACTGAAAGAGCAAATTTGTTATCAATTAAATAAACACCAATATCTTTATAATGATATTTTATCTATGATATTGTTCAAGTAGTTACTTTATAATCATATATGAATTTGTTGAAGGAAATCTATACTTTGGGTCATGACATGAATGTCCTTAGCTGTGATTTGGATCAAGTCACATCAAAACTAGAATTCACAGCATAAGACATTTGTCTTACCTATTTAGTACTTGCATTTAAAGATAATAATACTAATAACAATATTCTTAATTTTTTAATTTTAGGTTACTTTGGAATTAGTGAATTCTTATTGTAAGAACATAGTAGATGAGAAACATAATTGTTGAAGGTAGTTACATTCTTCATTTTCAGCTTTCTCTCCTCTTTCTTCTCCCTTTTTTATTCTTTATTAGGACATGCCCTGGAAGATGCGCCGTTTTGCAAAACTGGATATGTCCGCAAGGCTAGAACTCCAGTCTGCTCTTGATGCTGAAATCCGAGCCAAACAGGCTATTCAAGATGAGTTGAATAAAGTCAAAGCTTCCTGTATCTCTACAGAGTGGTAAGACTGAAATGTTCTGATGGAAATTTACTTTGAAACCTCCCAGGGAGTGTCATCAAATCATGATTTTAACTATGTTGCTATGAAAATTTGGTAAAATTTTTGTATTTTCTTATTTTTGGTAATAAGAAAATGTGGTATTTTCTTATATCCAAATGTGAAAAAAAGACCATATCTCTCTTCATTGTGTAAGCAGCTGAACACTTAATGGGAAAATTTGAAATCTTGAAGAATTTCAGAGGGGACACTTTCTCTTTAATAATTTAATCTCTTTAATTATATAATAACACATAATTCTTATTTATAATGTAAATAAGAAGCATGGCCAGCAGGTCAAGGGAGGTGATTCTCCCCCTCTACTCTGATCTGGTGAGACCTCACCTGCAGTGCTGCGGCCAGGTTTGGGGTCCCCAGTGCAAGAAAGACATCAACCTGTTAGAGCGGGTCCAGAGAAGGGCCATGAAGTTGATCAAGAGGCTGGAGCACCTCCTCCATGAGGACAGGCTGAGAGAGTTGGGGTGGTTCAGCCTGGAGAAGAGAAGGCTCCAGGGAGACCTTAGAGTGGCCTTCCAGTACTTAAAGGGTCCTACAGGAGAGGTGAGGAGGGACTCTTGGTCAGGGAGTGTAGTGGTAGGACAAGGGGTAACTGTTTCAAACTGAAACAGGGCAGGTTTAAACTAGATAGTAGGAAGAAGTTCTTCACTGTGAGGGTGCTGAGGCACTAGCACAGGTTGCCCAGAGAAGCTGTGACTGCCCCCTCCCTGGCAGTGTTCACGGCCAGATTGGATGGTGCTTTGAGCAACCTCGTTTGGTGGGAGGTGTCCCTGTCCCTGGCAGGGGGGTGGAACTAGGTGATCTTTAAGGTCTCTTCCAACCCAAACCATTCTGTGATTGATGGTATCAGTCTCTCTAAGTTGTGATAAGGAGTTCGAATGCAAGCAGAGTTTGGTTCTGTGTCTTAGAACATACTCTTTTTCCATTCTATTGATAGCTGCATGAGTTAGCTGATGAAAATAAATTATTGCATACTGATTTGCACAGTACTAAGATGTGGTTATGGAATATTATGACTTCTTTTATTCCTTTCTCAGACCTCTGTCTCTGTCCCTTCCACCCCCACCCCACGCCCCAAATAACAAAGTTTATTCTGAGTTGGATGAATACCTGAAGCAGGGATTAGGAGGAGGAGATTCCATTTTTAGGTCTGCAGCTTCAGTCTAGCTCAGAGCACTGACTTGTTTTGCAGCTTTAGGGAAGCAGTTGAACAGAGCTGAGATTCGAGTATGTTATCTGTGAAGTGGGAATACCTTGCCCACCTGACTTGGGGGTTTTTCAGGCCAGGTAGCATGGTGATAGGCAGCATTGTAGGTGCTCTAAGAACAGGAGTTTGCTGTGATAGGCAAGGATGAGCAGTGTGGTAGAAATGTATAGTAGTTACCTGTCAGCTGTGAATTGGAAAGTACTGAAACAACTAACTGTAACTGCAAAGAAAAATGGTTCAATGTAATCTATTGGTATCACAGACACTGTGAATTAACAGATAAACACCCCCCTGATTTTTAAGCATAAAAATACATGTGGTCTTTTTTTCTCATTCACAGGATACAAGCTCACACAATTATTCATAAATTAGAAACATAAGCCTATTTAATGGGTAAACAAGAGAAATTAATTGCTTGTTCTGGTTTGGTTTATTTAAGATGCCATACTAAACAGGTCCCAATAGATTTCTGAATTCGTTCTCGCATTTGATGATATCATGAAGCTTGCTGGGTGTTAAATTTTCAAATAGTATGCAAAGATGGGAAAAAAAAAGTGACTTGTATCATGTGTTCTCAATATTTACAAAGGGTTTTTTGTTTGTATTCTTTTAAAGTAAGTTGCAAGAATCTGAGAAGAAGAACATGGAACTGTTGACAGATATTGAAAGGCTGAAAAAGGAGACAGAAGAACTCAGATCAGAAAAGGGTATGGCAACTGATATCCAAGTAAATAACACGTTTCGTGTTGGTGGGTACATCTTATCAATTAAGTGTCACCTTGCAAGTAAAATACGATACCACCAGACTTTGGCGTGCAAAATACGAGCAGAACATTGCGTGTTAAGATGTACCCACAGCAGCTGCATTTGCACGTCTAATACATACTTGTAATACGCTTCTGTTTTGTTGATATGCTTGAACCAGTAAGGTATTATTTGAGTTGGAACTGCATTATTTTTATTTGGCATGTATATGGTGATTTACTGCCTTCAGAAAACTGTTAGAAGTATAGATATATTTATAATTTTTTCCCCTTTATGATAGGTGAAGGTATTTAGACTTCAATACTGATCAATAGTGTTCTTCATCTATGAATGTTTTTGCCCTGTCTACACAGAGAGTACACAACTGCAGAGCATTTACTTGTTTCTGGGGTGACTTTGTTGTTTGGCTTTGTAACCGTGTAGTGAGCAGTGTGGTCATGTTCGCTTTGCTGTGGTGTTAAGAGTATGTTCTGGGATCTCTAGTGCATCTGTCTAACAGTATTTCACATTGTTGCTGGGAGAAGAGACTTTTTGGTAATTCTGAAATGAAAAAAAAATTTCATTGAGAGATGATTAATGATTTGGCTGATTCTTTGCAGTTCCTGTAGTAGCTCTAATATTTGTATCTTATGAGTCACATGGGAAGAAGTAATTTTTCTGACCAAATGGAATTACCTAATTTTCTGTGGGGAACTGTTTGAACTGCAGAGTTTCAAAACCCTGGCAACAATTGCTGCGTGGGGATGTCAAATATTGTTCAGCCTTTGCAACCTAACGGCATGTCAGTGAATAATGTATTGTAGTTAACATTCATCTCCTATATATAGGCCTCCAAGTGCTGGTTGACTGGTAAAAACAATACAAGCCTATACAGAACATTAAAAAATGACTGATGCTGATTAGCAAATACGACTTCAGAAATTTATATTTGTTTGTCTTGATGCTTAGCACTGATACCAGGATTATGCTTCTTTTAAGTGCTTGGAAGGGAACTCTTGATAGCATTTTCCTGGAGACAATAATGCTTTGTCATGTTTAGCTTTCATTTATAGATTCTTGAACTGGCTTAAATATTATGCATGGTTACTCAGCTTCAGAAATCTTCCTTTGCATTAAACAATCTGTTAAGAATATTTTTCCCTTTATTTTTTCCATTGTTTTTGTGAAAATAGAGATAAATATTTAATCTTTTCTTTAGGAAAAAAGATTAAAAAAATGTACTGTTCAAGGAAAAGTTAGTTATGCTTTTTGCCAGAAGTAAATTAATAAGATTCTACTGAAATATTTTGATAGAAATACACCTTTATCCAAAATCCTTATTATCTTTGAACTTGGTTTTCTCTTACAAGAAGAAATAGATTGATGTTTGAATCATGAAATGTATTCTATGTACAGTGGCAGAGTAACTTACTGTGTGTGAAATTGGAAGGGATTACTTAAGTTAGCACTTGAATCTTTTGCTCTTTATAAATGTGTTCCAGAAACTGAGGAGGATGGGGAAAAAGATTACTAAAAATGGTTCTGTAAAGTAGCAGGTAGTTTGAGAATTGGTTTTAGTGTTTTACTGGGGTTTCAGTGTATTTATATTTTGGAGAGGAAAGAGTTGTTTATAACTTCTTTGTTCACTGTGCGTTATATTTAGAGCAAACAGGCCAAGCAAGACTGACATTTTTTAAAAGAAATAAATGACCTTTAATAGGATCAGTCTTTTGAGATGCACACGGTCCTGCCAGGCTCTGGTCATATTAAGTATATAATGTATTTATAATATTCAGTAAGCTAGAGATTGTACACATCTGTGACTTATAAACACCCACAGAGCAACTTGAATTATTCCCCAAAGAAAAGAAAAATGATAAATACATATATATATATCAGTTGAAGCAAGTTAAAATGACAGTCAAGAAGTGCCAGCCTCTGTGGCTCGAGAGGATGCAGTGTTCCTGCTCTGCTTACCAGCTGAAAACCATGTAGGTGGTGTACCGTCACAGACACATTTGGAGCTTTACCCAGGATTTTGTTATTCCTGGACATTCAAAAGTGAGAGGTGGCAGACAGACAGAGAGCATGGGTCAAGGACCCCCTATTTTAGGAAATGCTGTGTGTTCCTCAAACAGCCTGTTCTGTACGTTTTTGTGGAACCTCACTGTTCGCTAAAGCTGTCTTGTCACAGAAGGCTGTCCAGGGATGACACCTGCTGCGTTAGGGTGTATGCCTGTGTGTCATGCAGTGCGTGTTGCAAATGGACATAAGCACATTACAAACCTGTGCCTTCCACGTAATAGGCATGTACACGCAGCATGTTTTCATGCTGAATTCACACCACACGTACGATAGCTTGGAAAAGATTGATTAAACATACGCTCTACTTACTTAGTGGGTGTATGTCTATTAAAAAAAAAATATTTTACTCTGGAAAACAGAACAAATGTGACAAGTCATTTCAAAAAATGTAGGTGATTCAGGTGGATGCTCAGACCCTGATTCAGCAAGGCAAAGGTCCTCCATGAAAAGGTCATTTTTCTGTAGCTTAAAAACCTGCTGCTGTTTTCTAGGTGTAAAGCACCAAGACTCACAGAATTCTTTCTTGGCATTTTTGAATGCGCCTACCTCTGCTCTGGATCAATTTGAAGTAAGTGTACATCTATTGTAACTCTCTTAGTGGAACTACTGCTGTTATGTGCGGGTTATATGCATATTTGCTGAGAGTTTGCTACTGTATTTTAATCATATTGCCCCATTTATATTTGTGTATAATATGTGAGAATTGCCTGTCACTTGCAGTGCTGGCTGTCTTCTCTTGAACACTAGTAATCATAGTGAATTCTCTCAAACCTTGAATACAGAAATTTTCCTGATTTTGTAGGGAACATGAAAAGCGTAGTTGTTCAAATGGTCTTTCTTTGTATTCAGGAAAATTCTAAGTAATGTAGATACCGATTTGGTAAAAATGAGAGAAAATACGTAAATAATCCTTGAACGTATTCCGTGAAGTCAATGGTACTGTGTATTTATTAGGTTGTTTTCATTTTCTGTTCATTTTACACAGATCTGTAAATTCCAGATGATAATTACTATTCATCTCCTCTCCGCAGATCCTATATACTTAAAAGATAAATCTGTTTAATTCCTTTGTCAGCTTTAGACAAAAGACCGCTTTAGGTAGAAAACCTGGAAGAAAAAAATCGAAACAATACTATACATTCATATCTTCTTTTTTTAATCAACAGTAAGCAATGCATCATTTTTCTTTTAAAAGAACAGCTGGGGTGAAGTACTGGTCCAACTGAATTCGGAGGGGAAAAGGCACCACCTTTACAGTTACACATTGATCTAAAATTTGCCCCCTTTTTTTTTTTATGATGGATGTACAAGGTCATCACATTTAGCTATGAAAGACTTAATCCCTGATGTTATTGGTGTTCCAAAATTTTCTTTCTTTTCATTGTGTATTCATTAATTCATTGGTCTCATTAAGTCCTCACAATTAACACAATTTTTTAATTGTTTATCTTATAAATTACTTTCCATACAAAAATCCTGTTGGAGTGTAGGAATGTTATTTTATTGAGTGAATGCTAGAAAAACATTGGGGTTTATACAGGTAGTTTGTTGATTAATTGTCTGTGAAAGGCGATTAATGAAAACTTACTGAGGTAACTGTTACTGGCACTAGTTATTTACAGTTCTTTGGTTTTGCACTTTTATTTATACTGAACCATTTTCTTCATCCATCTCTTTCTTTCTCTCTCTCTTTTTTTTTTTTTTTTTTTTTTACTGCTGTTTTCATTAAAATAGGATTCCTTTTCCTCCTCTTCATCCTCATTGATTGATTTTATGGATGACGTAAGTCTTTGACTTTCAACCCAGTAAATCCCTCAATAACAGAGATCAGTTGATTGATTTGGAATATTCAAACATTAATGCAGTCAACTTAAAAAATCTGCAAGTGCAGTGGAGAAGAGAATATTTCTGTAATAGCATACTTATACCTATTTATACAGAAAGATGTTCAATTTTAAAGTAAATTTTTTTTTTTAGGTGCAGGCGAAGAATTCTTAATTGCAAACAGTTTTTCTAATGTGGAGAAGCTGCTTTTGGGCCTTATCTGCTGATACGGCCTGTGGAAAATGGTTCCAAAATCACTGGCACCTTTATTTCATTTACTTCTATTGCTTCACAGAATTACATTATCATTAGTTGTTTCCAAAAGTTTTCTGATCACTTCAGTGAAGATGTTTTCCTTGCATACCCCTAATTTCTATCTGCTCAAATAAAGTATTGTTTCTTCTTTAGCCTATGTTGTAAGAAGTAATTTTTGTTATAACTGAAGTGAACTTAGGACTTTTTATTGCCATTTGAGATGCTAGTTCTCAGTCAGGACAGTGTTTAAATATTTACCCTAGCTAATTGCATACTAAGGGAACTTACTTAAAACCTGAAAATTGACTGCATTGTATTTCTTCCAGACTGAAATAGCAGGCACATAAAAGTAAATAATAATAAGCTTTTTAAAATCAGAGTATATGCTATGCATCCATAATAGAGATCCACCCATTACAACTCTGTAGGTATACTGTGTGTGTACGGCTGTGTGAGCTTGTATATACGTGTATACACATACGCACATACATATACGTGTGTATTTAAAATAATATAATCCTATTTGCATTAAAATGTGATATAATTAATTTTATTCTAGAAATGTCTGCTGTGAAGGGTGTAGCAAAGAGGGTGTAGTATATGGGCCTATTCTACTGACTGGGTTTCTTTTCACAAACTGAAAGAATGCTTTTCTTCAAGATGCTTTTTTTCTGACTTAGACAAAATGTGAAGGTACATCTATGGTGCCGTAGTAGAAGGTATTTGCCTTCATTTTTGTATAGCATATAGAAAACTTTGTCTTGCTGATATTGCTGGAATTTTCTTACATGAAAAAAATGAGAGTACGGTTTCCTGTCATGTTAAATCTATAATAAATGGATAATATTTATACCCTTTATCTGGATTAAAGAAGCGTTCTCTATGTTGCCTGAGTATTAGGAACATTTAGTTTGTATCAGCAGGTTCCTTCATAGAAAGTTACCTTTGAAAATATCTAATACTCTCTCTTAAAACCTGTTAAAAGAGAAATAAAGTACATACATGACAGAGTAGCTGATAATGTTCTATTTTGCAACTTAAGACAAGAAAGTCTTCCTGGTTGCTGTCTAGTTAGTTTCAAAGGACTTCAGTACTTTATTCTGTATTTATTGTCGGTGGTTGTCTTTGGGGTTTTTTTTTGAAGAAGGCAGCGTATTTTTTTCACAAGCATTTTGACAAAATCATTTTTTTTTTTATCTATGCAAGTGAATAATTTTCGACTGTTGGCATACATCCTTTAAGACGTTCTTCTCAATAGGTCCACCCAGATCAAATCTTTTCGGATACCCATCTTTTAGTGTTAGGTAAAACTGCAGTTATTAATGTGTATATTGTTGTATGTGGATGACTTACTACATGCAGAGTCAAACTTCCCCTGTTACATCTTCAATCTGAGTCCAACAGGAGCGTTTTTTCCTCAGTTGCATTCGGCAAGAGTAGATTTCTGGACTGGACTGGACAGGGGCTAACGTCTCTAACACCGGGACAGAATTCTTTCTCATCTGGCAAAACTCCAGAAGAAGAGTTGACTGTTCAAAGATGGGAAGAGTACCTTGCAGCCAAATACAAGACCTGTCGAGCTACCTGTCTTACTAGAAAGAGAAATAAAGCTGATATCTGCATTAATAGGTGAAAGGTGGTCTAATTAAGTTGTGCTTAAAGTCAGGTCTGCGTCTTTCGTTTATTGGACAAGTACTTGATTCATTCATAGAGAGATTCATAATCCATAATTATCAAAAAGATTCATAATCTGAATTATCAGAAAGAATGGTTATTTGTTTTAGCTCATTGAGTGGTTCAATATGAGTGTATTAGGCAGATTTAAATGAAAATAAGGGTATGAAAAATCCCTTCCCACTGGATATCACATCCATTCCTTTCCAGTGTCTCTTTTTGACAGTAGTTACCTTGAAGGGCAGTGTTTCTTGCAGCATCTCACAAATAATTAACCTGTGCTCGGTCAAACCTTAGCAGTGTGTGGGTTCTTCATATTAAGACCAGGGAAGAATTAGAAGGTCTCAGGTCAGACTCATGCAGTACTGCAATACTGCCTGAGTTTCAGGAAAGCCTCTCCTGTAATCAGAACCCAAAGTAAATATTACTAATGGCCCGTACATTTTCTTCAGCCTCTGTCCTTCATTAAGAAATGACAGAGAGCACATAAAATAATATGCAGTGGCAGTTACATAGCACGGTCTGCAAGATCTCTGAAGTCTATTTAACATACAGATGTGTAAGCAGCACTGAGTTTGGCCCAACTTTGGCGTTTACTAGGGTGGGTGTGTCTTGTGTGCCTGCCACCCAAATAACATAATTGTTTATAGTGCTCTGTGAATGATTGGAGTTAATTCTAATTGTTTCAATGAGGAAAATGGTAGTTTTGCAATTTCTACTGGAGAGAGGTAAAAATAGATGTCCTGCTGCCTCTGTAGCCTGGAAATGCTGAGCAAGAAAAGTGGTAGCTCACTACTTAGATGAGTAGCAGTCACTGATGGTTCCAGCTGTCGCTCCTTGAAAAGATACTTAGTCAGGTTGGCAGAAATGGTGCCTAAATCCTCATAACTGCAAAAGCCCACGCGTTCAGAAGCAATCCTTGTATCTCCTGTGCACGTGGGAAAGTATGACGGGGAGTAGGAATGGGTCTTGCTGTCCCCAGTTTCTGATTTTGGTGGGAAGGGAAGTCACCCGCAGTTTCTCTAACATACTAAGGTCTAAATATTTGCTGCTGTTTCTCCTGTGTGTTGCAGGCTGCCTCCCAGTAACATTGTCTAGGTGTTAAGTCTTCTGTGTTCACTAGAAGTGTCTGATAATGAAACTGTTGGGTTTGGGGTTTTTTGCCAAGTGGATCTTTGTGTATCTCACTAGCTGCTAGAAGGAATCAAGTTGTTTTATTTAAAGATGAATTTGTGATTATTTGATAACAATTAAATGGAATCCCATTTTCCCTTGACGAAATTATTTTTCCCTACTTGCTAGAAAATATTATCTTTACCCTATTACCAACACATTACGTATTAAAAATAGATATTTTAAATTCTCCTGCAATCTGTCCTCACATGGAGTCCCCATGGGCTTTGGGTTAGACTAAACAAATCTGAACTTTGTAAATAACCACAGAACAAATCATGTTCTGAATTCTCGTTATTGAACAGAATAGTAGAGTGTGATGAGAGCCCTGACCCTACCTGCACATTTATAATTAAGTTTAGAATAATTGTGGTTCCTAATGATACTTTAAATTGGACATACTGTGCCTCCACGAGATTGCTTTATTCATCTTATTCAAAGTACAGAGCTGCTAACTGCAAATTATTAGTCTGCAGTTTCACTGCTGTTGTCCAGTGTAAAACTACAATAGAGGCTTTAAAGTAACTGTTCCTTTTTTTTTATGTTTCTTTCCTCCTGTTGCCCTAGAGTACCTTGCTTTCAAAACACTTGTAAAAATGAACGTTTGTGTGTGTCTAAACACTACCTCTGGAGATAGAGAGTGATGAATTCTGAGCTGATGTATGTGTGTCACTGTTTGGTTTTGTAACATATTCTCCTCCTTTCTTTGTTAAAGCGCTCTCCTTCCTGTATTCCAGCTAACAAAGGCAGACGTGTAAGAGGCTGTCTTACTCTATGTGGCCTTTTATTTTTTTGCCTGTCGTGTACATGCCTCTGTTTAATGTATGGATTGTGTATTTACCTCACTGCATGTCTTGTGCTGCTGCTACCATTTGCTGCTGCTGCTGCTGTGCTTTTGTTGGTTTACAGCTGTGGGCTAAAAGCTTTTGAAGTGTTTCATTTGGTAATCCTATGAGCAGAATATTACAGTAACCAGAGAAGATGCTTTGGGTACTTTCTTATTTCAATATGAAAGTTCTTTGGAAAGCTCATCAGGTAGATGGAGGTTAGGAAGATGAGCAAATGTCAAATGAGGGCCTGTTCGTTTTCTTGCCCTTAGCAGAGGGCATGTGTTGAGTTATAGGAATTGCCTATAGAAGGTGGAAGTTTGGCATTTTGGAAGTGTGTCATAGCAATTGATAGAAAATATCACAGTACAGAGATAAATAAATGGCAAGTGGGCCAACATCAAGGAGGGCAGGAAAAATTCATACAAGGAGAACAGTTGGATGTGTTGTAGTCTGCTAAGATGGAAAGCTCTATGGTGTTTCAAAAATTAAGGTGGATTTTTAAACATGGTTTTATCAAAGCTTTGTCAGACTGAATTTGTACCAGGTATGCTATGTCCATTTTAAACTCATACTGTCACTTTTGTTTCTTTTATATCCATGTGATGATAGGAATAGGAAAGCATACAAAGCATTTATATTGAATATTCAATAAATAAGCAATAATGCCCAACAGCTCTAATAATGACCTTACCTATGCAGTTCAAAGCACACCACTCAGTGTCTTAGGCAAGCTTACTGTTGTCAGCTGTCCGTCTCTCCTCAAGATGTGTTCCTATACTGGCCAGCTTTGGCTCAGACCTACACAGGTGGCACTATGTAGACAACTAAGCACAGTCCTGTCAAAGACAACAAGGCTGTTACAGTTTGGTAGGAAATACTGAAATATGCTTTTGATAATCCAGTGGATTAGTTTAAAACTAATTTTAATGGTGTTGGTATGGTCCATGTAAGCTTTTGGCCATAGTTGAGTTAGATTGCTTGTGTACTTAGTTCTTCTCATGAAAGCAAGGAACCTGGAGACTACTGTAGCAATACAGCTTAAGGCCCTGTTTCTGCAGAAAAGGTAGCGGTTAAATTCTCTTCAAACTTTGTAACAGTAGATCAGGTTCTGTGGTTTTTTTGGGCTTTTTGTGATCAGAAGTAAAGTAAAAATATGTTTGTTCAGCAGTTTTCTGCAACCACAAAGGCTTTGTAGCACATTCCAGAAAAGTTCTGTCATTCATATCATGCTTGTACTAAATTTTTTAAGAGATACTATGAAAATTCTTTGGTATGCAGATGCTACTTTGAAAGGGAAAGCCTTTGGAGTATCTGGAAACATTTATGAAACGTTAGGTTAGATCTCTGAGTTTAACTTGCAGAGGAAAAGGAATGTCTGTTTCTTGCTATGAAAAATTCACCTGTAGTTGCTCATTGGGCTTTTTTTTTTTTTAATAACACTTTTAAGATGAAGGTAGAATTGTTTGAGGGTAAGTCTTCAAGTGGACTCCAAGTTATCACGTGTTTAGGCTCAATTATTAAAAAAAAAAAGAAGTTTAAAATAATTGAAAAAATATTATGTGTCTGAGGATTTACTGCTTAAAGGTATCAGTGATTCTAATACTGAATAAAGCTTCCAATTATTATTTGCTTCTGATAAATCTGAGCACAAAATGTTTGCTTTACTGCTAATTTTTGCCTCGTGCTTGAAACACGATCTATGTGTAGAAAACAGGTGTATCCCAGTGTGAGAATTTCCTATTTTCATTACAGAAATACTTGCAGGCATCTTAATATGCCTAAGCTGATTAAACAGATGAGCATTCTCCACCAAATAATTTTTTTTGAAGACTATGATAAAACTGGAAGCCATCAAACTTAACTTAATTAAAAAAAAAAAAAAAAAGAGAGAGAGAAGAGAAAAGAAAAAACAGCAACTGCACCTGTTCGCTACCATGAATGAGTTTCTGGAGAACAGGACTGTATATGCATGTATAAGATTGGCTTGGCAATGTATTTTATCCCCAAAAAGCAGTAAAGTTTGTGGAATTCTTAGTATGATGTTAGTGGAGAATGAGATAAAAAACACTGGAATGTTCAAATGCTTTCTGTAAACGTTGCTGCATATTTTAGTTATATGTAGCATATAAGCTAGCCAAATTCTTAGCAATGGGCAGGTGATGATAGCATTGCTCCAGAAAAGCCAGGCATGCAATGGAGCCTTCTGTAGGCCTCCAGGTGTTAGTTTTATTGCTAGTGGGGAAAAACATCCTTATCTCACTATAATTTTTTTAAAAAATATATAAATTTACAGAGAGAACTTTGATGTGGAGATGTCTTGATTTCAAGGAAGAATCCTGCATTCTCTGATTTTTCAGTTGCACTGACAAAAGATAACTTGTTATGCAAGATACCTGATTGTACCTATATGCCTTGCTGTTCAGTGTAGTTCTGTGTTGGGCTCAGTTTCATTGTACATCAAGGACTAGGAAAATATTTTCCTGAAGAAACTGAATTCCTGTTAAGGATGGTTTTGTAGTTAAAATGGGGTACAAAACCCCCTTAATTATCTGTGAATATAATTAACGCTAACCTCAGGAAATATGTTGTTTGCTCGGCCTTTTCTCCTTATTTTCTCCTAAATATGTTTGCAGTGATTTACATGGACTATATGGGAATTCAATTCTAACAAATCTCTACTACCAATGGACAAAATCCAGTAGAAAATATTTACCCTTTAAAAGTCTTTTCCAGTGTTTCTCAGGCCCCTGAACTAGCAGCTCTTATGCATGTGCTCGCCTCTCCGCAGAAGCCTTGGCGTGTTCATATTCAATAATTTTGCATTTCTGTACTTGAATTAGAAAGTTGCTTAAAACTGAATTTTTATCCTCTCAGTTCTCTCTTAGGAATTCTACTGCTCCCATGTCTTATTTTGGTAAGAGCTGAGAATTATTTTTTAATGATATCTTTGATTTATTTTTTTGGTTGTTTTTTTTTTTTCTCTCAAATTGTTCTTCTAGATTGATTCAGTTGAGAATTTTACATTATCTAATACTCCATCACGGGATGAAGATAGCAAGTCTCACCTCCATTCAAGATCAAGGTCTCCTTCAACAGCTAGTGAGATTGAACCAATCGAGGTACTTGAGTGTTGCATAATTTTTTACTTTTTTGGGGGAGTAACAGTTTCACTCATATCAAAATTTCCGTTGCAAATACTTTTGTTTAGAATGAAGCTCACTCCTCTGCAGCAAACTATTTGGGACCTTGTAAGAGCCTCCTGCACTAGTAGTGAACTGTGTTTTGGGGAATGTTGCATTTCCTTTTGCATACCATTAATTGATTAGGGATGGGAACTATGTTGAATCAATTATTAGATACAGTCTCTCTTTATAGCATATCCTCAGTCGTGATTATTTAAGGAATGTTGGCACAAAGTTAATGTTA